AAGGTGGGCAGAGAAAGCAAAGTTCCTTGTGAACTGGTGGTTAAATAAAATCAGTACAGATTGCTGTATTATTACATGACAATATGAAACAATGGCTTTCATTTTTTTTCCTTGCTTTTTTTTTTTTTTATAAGTATTCTAAATTGATCCCTACAGTTAAAAGAAGTTTGTAAGGAAAGATTAATAAATTTTAAATCTGCATTTTGATATTAGTTGTGTGTGATGTAAGCAAGCACTGCTCCGAAGAATGTTAGGCTATTCAAAAGATGCACATGTCCATAATTATGAGATGGTTATAAATTATCAGCTGGAATCTATAGTAGTTTTCTTATTACTTCTGCTTTGTTGGGTACTAGCAAACACATTGATGATATAGATATATTTCTTTGAATGGTCTTTGAGATTGTTTTCAGTACTCTAGGGGCCTGCATTTGTAAATTGCAAGTTGACTTATAGGACGAGCATATTCATTTCTTCTCCACTAACAATTCCAATATTACAGAGTTGGGAGCTAATGACTCAGTAGGCCAGTATCCTAATCAGCTTATCTCCCTGAAAACATTGCACCAGCTTTTGACTTTGTTCATACCAGTGTAACGCCATTACCATGAGTGATACTACTTTTGATTTTCATTGGTGTGATAGCTGAATCAAGCCTTTTGTCTCAAGTTACTGGATGAGCAATCTCTGTTGTGTAACAATTTTCTGATATTCAATTTTGTCAAAAAAGGCTGAAGGCTCAGACTTGGGTTTTTTTTTTTTCCACATGGAAAACCTGTTTGTCTGGGTTCCTCTCTACCTATCTTGAGCAGTTGGGATACTCTCTGCTGTCAGTGAAATAAATAGACAGAACGGGAGAGAATACTGACACATTTTTATTGTTGCAAAATTGAACATCTTGATATTTACAACTGGTGAAGATCTAATTAAACTAGGAATTCTTACAGTAGGTTTCAGAATTAGGAAAATACCATTGTTTTATCCTTTTGTTTGTTGATGACAAATAAACAAAGTTGACAAGGGATTTTTAAAAGCTAGCCATTTTTTTTTTGTTTTAGGATTATTTTAGTACTACTAAATGCCTAAATACTGTTACTTTTTAAGTTTGAGTATTGCTGTGTGTTAGCTCTTCTAAAACTCAGGATTTTCTCACCAAAAGTAGCAACTTTTCCCTCCTCTTCCTATAGCAAGATAAAGTATCTTGTTGGAAAAGAACAAACTGGACAACAGTCACCTTGGCTGCAAGAGATATTTCACAGAGCCCTTCTGTATCTTGTTTTTTTGTTGTGTTTTAAAGGGCACATGTAGTTTAGAATTATAATATGTCAATGGCCAATCTGGATACAATTTTAAAAAGTGCTTAAGAGTCTTAATCACCTTAGTCCCATTTTCAGAAGTGAATTTGGCATTTAGTAACATAAGTTAGTTCCACTGATTTATATTCCAAAGGGTAAGATTTTTTCAAAGGTGTTTTTATCACCCTTGTTTTCCTATTAATTTTTCACTAATCGCCCTTGCAAAGATTTGTTATCTCAAGTGGGTTTCATCAATTTTATCTGCAATCCTAGGATCTGATTTTGTGTGTTCTTTTATCTGCATGGTTTTGAATAAAAATACAGATGAATATAATCTGCATAACTATAAAACTACAAACCCTCTGTATATTTATTCCAGGTGATCCTGTGAAATTCCTGTGAGAATGTAAGAGCTTCTTTAAAATGTGGTAGAAGTGGCTGAATCTGTTACTGCCAGATGAAGTGAACCATCTCCTTATAGAACACGGGTGGGCAAAATAGCCTCTGTGGACTGGATCTGGCCCACTAAGTGGGTTGATCCAGCCGGCAGGGGCCCTGCCGCTTCCCCGCTGCCAGGCCAATTAGGGCTTGGGGACAGGAGGAAGTGCACAAAGTTTCCTCTGCTCTGCAAGGAGGAAACAATCCTCCTCTGGCAGGGTGGGAGGAGACTTTACTCAGTCTCTGGCCCCCAAACCCTGATTAGCCTGGGAGTGTGTGAAGGGGGAGTGTGAGGTCTCCTCCCACCTCCAGGGGCATGGGCTCCTAGGGCAAACCTCTGGGGGGACAAAAGTGCTTCCCCACCCCCAGACCACTCATGATCTGTGGGTGGGGAAGTAGGGAAGTATCCTGGCCCTGCCCCTTCTGCTTGAGGCCCCTCCCCTTCCGGTGCGGCCCGGGGCCACTTCAGAAATTTCTGAAGCAGCTGCTGGCAAAAAATTATTGCCCACCCCATTGTAGAACGTCTGTTTAATCTCTTTATTATTCTGTTTCAAATTAGAATTGTGGGTACAGCAGCTTGAAATATGTGATGCAAACTATATATTCAGTGGATCCAGCCTGTCTTTTTACTGTTAAATCTCCTACAAAGATAAAGATTTTCCCTAACAAATGTTTGTAAAACTTGTTTGACAAACAGATATTTATAAATCTATTCCAGACTTTCGTCTGTGTTCAGTATTTATCATTTAAACTTATCTGACACTGCTTACCCTTTTAGAACCAGGAGGACTGCACCAAGAATCCAGTCCTCTAAGAACACAGGAGAAAGACAGTAAGCCTAGTAAAATTCTGGATGCTTTTAAGCTTTTTTTTCCTGCCCTGTTTTAGAACAGCATTATACTTGACTTTGTGTTTGGAACAGAGATTTTAAAAAGCAGTTGATTTTCCATCCTGATGGCTACAAGCCAGGTTTGTTAGCCATCTAACAGAGTGCATAATAAAATTTCACCTTGTCCTGTTCACACAACTAGGTCTGTGTGCTAATGTCCCCTAACATTGATGCCAACTCCATGTCCAGCATTCGAGGCTTGATCAGGAAGGAGAAAGGGAAGGAACAGGAATCCCCTCTGGGATTTTGTAGGCAGCATGGCTGGGGTGGGTGTATCCTCTTCTCCTACATGGGGTGATGGCACTGGGATCTTAGTTGACACAGGAACAATGGGGGCCTTGCAAGGCAGTGAAGGATGGGAGCTGCATTTTGGAGACTCCTTTCCTCCTGTGAATCACAAAGATATTTTGGGGGCAAACCCTGCTAGAGCAAGGCAACAAGAATGAAGGATTGTGGAGGCAGGGCAAGAGTTGATTGAAGTTGTGCAGCAGAAGCTTCAGAAGCAATTCAAGGAGTACAGGGTGACATAGTCCTAGCAGAACTAGGTTGATGAACTGTGTCTAGAACCCAGGAGGAAGAGCACAGTTTTGAACTGGAAGGACACCAAGGAGTGGGTGATGGGTATGTAAGTTGAAGGGACAGAAGCATGACACAGGACAGCATGATGCTGCATACGGGAGAGCCTTGCAATGAAGGGAGGAGAGGACAGGATGGTGGATATGTAAGATTAACCCCTTCTCCTCCAAAGCTGAGTTGGGAATCTAGAGAGGTCGGGTGACCATATTTCCCTATGACAAATACAGGGCACCTGATACATTGCTCTGATTGCTGTTGAACTCACTTAAATCAATCAGAACTATTCAGTACAAATGTTCAAAATAGCATTAAGTTGATTGAGTCGCCATTAAAAGACACACTGCATTATTATATGTGTGTATATTTTAGAAACGTGCACCCGTCTGTCTGTCCATTACTCTGTTGGTTCCAGAATGTCTCCTAAATGGTAAGAGCGAGGACCACCACATTTGGTGTGCAGCAGAGATGTTGGATGCAGTGTAACTGAATAGTCATAGAATCATCATAGAATACTAGGACTGGAAGGGACCTCGAAAGGTCATCGAGTCTGGTCCTCTGCCCTCATGGCAGGACCCCGTATTGTCTAGACCATCCCTGATAGACATTTATCTAATCTACTCTTAAATATCTCCACAGATAGAGATTTCACAACCTCTCTAGGCAATTTATTCCAGTGTTTAACCACCCTGACAGTTAGGAACTTTTTTTAATGTCCAACCTAAACCTCCCTTGCTGCAGTTTAAGCCCATTGCTTCTTGTTCTATCCTCAGAGGCCAGGAAGAACAAGTTTCCTCCCTCCCTCCTGGGGGCAGTGCCAGCAGTCAATGTGCTCTTGACTCCACTCTCGGGAAGTCCCTTGCCACCCTGTGCTGCTGCCTCTGTATCAGAAACAGCAGTGCGAGTAGCAGGCAGAGCCAGTTCACGAGTGGAGCAGTTTAAAAACAAGTTCCCAATGCAGACCGGCTGCCTGCCACCCAGCGCTGCTGCTTCTGATACAGATACAGAGGCAGCAGCATAGGGTGGCAGCAGCCCTTATCTGTGTGTGTGTGTGTGGGGGGGATTCCCTGTGGACAGAGACTGCTCTGTGGAATCAGTGTAGTCTCTGTCCACAGGGAACTTGAACCCCTGTGGACAGGGGCTGCTACCGCAAAGCAGACTCTGCCCACTGCAGACCCAGGCAGGTGGCACTGTGGAGGTGGTGCTGGGGGGAGTCGGGTTGATAGCTGGCTCCCCCTAGCACTAGCTCCTATCTGCTCCCCCCCTGCTGCTTCTGTAGGAGGCAGCGAAAGGGAGCAGGTGGGTCCATGGAGCTGATACATGCGGGGAGCTGGCCTGAAAGCCAGCTCCTTGTGAATATTGGCTCCAGCCTGCCTCCCTTGCCCTACACACTGCTGTCTCTCTATCAAAGGCAGCAGAATGGGAGTGGGAGAACAGGTGGATTTGGTGCTCATGTGGTGTTGCTTTTTAAGCTAGCTCCTCACAGGCACCGGCTCCTGCTCTCCTCTTGCTGTCTCTGATAGAAAGGCAGCAAGTGGGTGGGGAGAGGGGGGAAAAATGCGAGTAGTTGAAAAGATTAACCAATAACAAGCTGGCTAATCATATAATCAGCTACCCATTGACATCCCTACTATGCAGCTTCCTCTTATCCTAACTTAAAGCAAACTCAGGGGTTTGGTTGTGCCAGGAAAAGGGGATGTGCCTGGACTTTTATTGTTTTCCATAACATGGAAAGGGAGAGGGCTGAGTGGTCACTATATTGCAGAGTGACTACTAGGGGCAACTGCACCAGCAAGACAGTGGCCTGATGGGGCGAGGACACACCATCTTGCTGATCATTGCAACAGGTAAACGGGCCCCCACTCCAACCCCCCCCTCAGATGCAGTGCTGAACAGAGGGAGCCCTGTTAGCCATCAGCCCCACTGGACAATGGAACCCCCCAGGCGAGTAGAGGCCAGGGGATGGGCAGTCAGTTCCGGGATGGCCCCCAAAGGGGTTGTTGGGGCCTGCTGGGAATGATGGAGACCTCCCCCCTCTCACCAGGAGCCCTCAGCTGGAAAAGTCCCCCTCCAGGAATCGCTGGCTGGGAGTGGCTTGTGTCAGCTGATGGTCAGGGCAGTGTGTGTGTGTGTGGGTTTTTGTTTGTTGAACAAACCTACAGTCCCTATCTTGTACGTAACCCGGGGACTGCCTGTATTGCCAACCCAAAAATCACAAGGAACACCTGTCAGCCGACGGTCAGGGCAGTGTGTGTGTGTATGTTTCCGAGAAAAGGTTTAACGTCCGTGCCTTTACTGCTAGGACCGGGGTCCCATCGCAGAGGGTGGCCAGCAGGCCAACAGACGCCCCGTTATATAGGAAGAGCTTATTACATCTTAGATTTCAGCTGCTAGAATTTCATAATTCCTTCGCAGCGGGCAGCCTTGAGGAAAGACTGAAAGATGCCCCAGTGGGTCCTGTCACCTGGGAGTGACACAGATCCAAACGCCCAAGCTCTTCCTATAACTGTCCCTTTTGACCGGCTGAAGTTCTTTTAAATTGTGCTTGGTTCTGTTACAGCAACTGAAGGAGTCAGGTTAAAACTTAAACAGTTACAGGTTTATTAAAGAAGCTTATAAATCATATGGTTACAATGGCTATTGCTCTATTTCTTAACTGCTAGCAAATATAGATCTTAAAAATGGTTACAAAGAAAATAAAGATAGAAAATAGAAATAATGGTACCAAGTGACAGCTTAATCTTTAAAGAGCTCTAAGTCTATGTGTACACTTAAGACAAAGGACCACATCCAGGTACAATTTTTACCCCCTTCTGTGCCTCTCAACTCCAGACATTTTTTTACTGGGCGAGAGATTCCTCCCCCCGCGGACGGCTGTGTGTTCGTATCAATATGGGTTTCAGTCAAGGGCAGTCCTCGGCAGCCTCTTGGTCAGCAATTGGCGTATCTCTGTTTACAGCCATTCAGGGTCACTGAGTCCGCATATCCTGAGCCTCCTGCTCCAAGGCTTTTACTGCTCTGTGTGCCCTGCATGCTCCAGGCAAGCAAAGATGGATGTTACAGGGGGGTTCCTGTCTGGCTACAGCTGGTCAGTGCAGCTGTTTGCAGCAGTTTTATGAATGATGTGAGCATCACAACCAAAACCAAAGATGTCTTCCCCTAGTTTGACTTGCAGTTTTCACTGTGTGTTGTTTTCCCCAGCATGTTTAGCAGCACCAGAATATCCATTGGTATTGTCTGCACAAAGCCTAACCAGCTTTTCACTAAGAGAAGGCTTCTCAGTCAATTGATATGGAAATTGCACTGTGAGTCAGGAGTTTCACCTGGTAGAGAAGAAAACTTAATAATGTTTGTGTTTACCCCATCTGAGGGAACATCAAGGCACTTGGTGTGGCCAAAGTGTGGCTCGGGGCAGGGAGGGGGTAGCTAGGTTCTGTGTGTGGTTGGCAGGAGCCAGGGGCTGCATGCAGACAGGAGGATACCTCAGAGAAGGGGTAACTAGAGGCTGTGTGCCAGGAGGGCTTTGTCTCCCACTCCTGTGGCTCTTACCAGCTATGTGAGCAAAGGGGGCTGGGAGCTGAGGGGGCAGCTTCAGACCCCTGCACAAGAGCAGCAGTGGAAGAAGAGGGAACATCGCTGCCTGTGCCATGGAACCAACCAGAGGAGCAGCTGCCCCGCCCTGTTTGGCTTTCCAAACTGTGCCCTGAACTTTTACTGAAGTTTGGATGAGGAACACCCCAAGTGTCTCCCAACTCTGCCCATGGGCTTGGGGGCTTCTGCACAGGGAGCACTGAGGATCCGGGATCCAGGATTCAGCTTCAGTTTTGAGGTGCGGGGTGGGCATCGGGATTTCAGCTCCTGCTTCCAGCCCTGCAGAGGTTGCCAGGGATTTGGCTTCAGCCCTTGGGAGAGGGGAGTGTCAGGGATTGGGGCTTCAGCTGTGGGGTGGAGGGACATGCTGAGGATTGGGAAAAGGGCATGGTGACAATCAGGGCTTCAGCCTAGGTGGTACTGGGAATTCAGGGGTGCTTCATGGCTCAGGGCTTTAGCCTAGGGGTGCTTGGAATTTAGTGTGGGAGGTGCCATTGGGGATCAGGATTTAGAGCCCAGCAGCAGTTGTTGGAGATCATGGCTTCAGTCCTGAAGCCTGAAAGGGCTGGCAGACCGTCCCCCTGCCAGGAAACCTTGATTTACGGTGCACGTGGGGAGGGATGACACCCCCCCTTACCGCTCTATCACTCTCCTATTGGCTTCCTGTCTTTCTGCCTCTGAACTGTGCCTGAGAGCACCACTTGCTTGCCACCGCCTGCTTCATTCACCTGCCAGCCACACACACGAGGCTGCTGGCTGCAGTGACACCAACTGACGAGCAGAGGGAGCACCAGAGATGAAAATATAGAGCAAGTCTCTTGTTCTTTTAAAAAAAAGTTGGGACATCTTTCAGGGGGGCTTAAATACAGACTGTCACATTAAAAATGGATGATCACCCATAGAGAGGAGACTACAGTAAAACTCCAGTTGTCCGGCATCCAGTGGTCCGTCACTCCTGATAGTCTGGCACCACCTGGAACCTGGAAGTGCTCCAGGCAGCTGGACAATTGGAGCTGCTCTGCCCCAGGCTTCTCCGAGTCAGTTGCTGGTCAGTTTCAGCAGCGCCGCTCCCCTCATTCCCCCCATCCCATACCCTTTATAGCCCCCCCTTCCGATAGTCCGGCATATCTGATAATCTGGCAACTCCTGGGTCCTAAAGGTGCCGGATTATTGGAAATTTACTGTAGTATGATGTGAGGGAATTGCCTGCTGGGAAAATAAGCAGGATGTGAGGGAGCAGCCATTTACCTCACATTCTACAGCTGGAACAACTGCAATATATGGGGCAACAGATTTAGCCACATGACTCAGGGAGGTCCTGTTCTCTTGGGGCAGAGGTCCCAAAGTTACTGGGTTAGCCAGGCTATCTAGGAGGTGACAGCTTTTCACAAGAGTTGCAGGCTAATTTACAATTGTTTCAGAGGTTGGAGACTTCCAGATGCCTCTTGGAGATAGAGGTAGTTCTGGTCACCCTGCATGGGCTAGGTTTGAGGTGGCCACAACCATCACATTACCACAGGCAAAGTGTGAGGAAAAAATTGTATCCTCCCTGACAAAGAACAGATTGCTGTGCAGGGGTTGTCTTGGAGCTTGAGAGGTGGGGGGGAAGGGGGCTCAGGACATTGCAAAATTTGCAGCTAGATTGTTGTGTGGCACATCTACTTGCTGGAGTTAAGGGGCTCTGGCTAGTGGATTGGCATGCCACTGAATATTACTTTATCCTATAGACACCATGATATATTTTACATAACTGCCAAAATCATGGATTAAATCCAGTACTTTCCAATTTGTCACACTAACTCAAGATGAAAAACTGCATTACTGTTGAGTATGTGCCGTGCTACTTTTAGAGTGCAGTTATCTACTCTTGCCCACGTCGTTTGACAATGGTCTCAATGCCAGCACTAAATTCTTCTCTGTATAATTAGAATTTTCAGTTGAAAATTAAAATGCAGGACTGCATGAATTTTGAACTTTTTACATTGTAGTAAAACTGAATGGAGTGAAATATTGAAAATACTGGCTATGCAAAATAGTATACTTTCTAAACAGGATTTTTACTTAATATTTCCCATAAGGCACCAACAACTTTTTAATCTCGTTTTGATGCCCTGAGTATTTAGGGGGAATTTCCCATAAGGCACCAACAACTTTTTAATCTTGTTTAGATGTCTTGAGTATATAGGGGGTTGGATAGTGTGTCAAGGGGGATTAGGAATGAGTCTTTATAATCTCTGGAAATTTGTAGAGGAAAATGACTTTTACAGAAAAAATCTTGATATCCCCTTGCACTTGTGTGTTTGTGTGGTGCATGAATGTTATATATATATGATGCGCTTTATTTTTATGTTTTAAAATATTTTTAAATTTTTTGCTATTAAATCTTCTTTGGAGTAGAACAGTGTTTTTTTTCCTAATAAATCATGCTGGGGAAAATTTCTTGAACAAAACTTTTTGATTTTCCCCCCAAAAATGCAGATTCTGGGTGGTGGAAACGTTTCACTAATTCATGTTAGATCCATCAAATTGTTTGTCAGAACCAGCTCCCCAAAATCAAAACATTTCATTTTGATATTTTAGAAACAAAACATTTTATATTTTGTTATACATTTTACTTCTGTTTTCTTTAAAAAGGTAAATAATCCCCTCAAACAAATGTTGACTGGATTGAATGAAACATTTTATTTGACCCAAAACTTAAAAAAAATTTTTTTTTAATTCAATGAAACATTTTATTTGACCCAAAACTTAAAAAAATTTTTTTTAATTTTTTTAATTCTGCCACTGCACCGGGAAGTCACTTAATTCCCACAACTTTCCTAATAAACCCACGCCACTGTCTTTCTCTCCACCAACCCAACCACAATAACATAAATATTTGGTGTACAAAGTAGAACTTACATCATCAGTAGAAGTCACTGTTGACCTATTACAGTTCCAGTCAATGATCAACTGACTGTAGCACAGTAGCAGCAGAAAGAAATACAGTACACTTTTGAGAACTGGGTTTCAACATACAAACCCAGCTGATGGCTCTCAGTTATAACAGATGTCAGAAAGTGCCAGGCACTCTGGAACGTTCTTAATGAATATGCAAAGCTTGACTGGAATCCCCCATCACTCCCAAATTACTAAACACATTCTAACAGAGCACCTCCAAGCAGAGGAAAAACAAAGGGAAGAGAAAATTACTATTTATTTGTTTTCTTCACCTTTTGCTCTGACACGGTACCTGCACTGCCTTATGCGGTGCCAT